GTCATGTTATTTGTAAACGTGAATCCTTTGTTAGTGTTTATATTTTGGTTGCTGCAATATGACTGTAGTGGCTTCTTTTACTTGTACTTGTAAACGTGAATGCAGTACTGTCATGTTATATGTCTATCGAGAAAACTGGTGGATTGGCATATTATATAGCTGTGCCATCAACTTTCTTGCTGCATTACTTTATTTTCCAGCAAAAAGTGTTATAAATTTTTCTTTTTGAGCAGGCAGTGAATGCAATTCTTTGACACTAACATTTGATGGGGTTGATTTGATGGGCGAGAGGCTAGCTGAAGAGGTAGTTCTGTCAATGAGAAATTTTATCTTCTCTTTTATGTTGAGATTATTTCTTTGTTCTCAAAGTTCATCTGTTCATTGATCGTCATGGTGTGGTCTATACCCGGGCAGTGAAATGTTTGAGGGAGTGGATTCCATATAAGTAATGTGTGTTTACACATGATGTTCTTGTTGTAGGTTTTATCAGTTGTTAAGCGAAGAAAGGGCATTCGTAAGATTTCATTTGTTGCTCACTCCTTGGGTGGCTTGGTAGCCAGATATGCTGTAGGAAGGCTCTATGAACCTATCACCACAATGGAGTCATCTCTTGACACTGAAAACCACACAGACAAAAGCATCGGCATGGAAGGTAGAATAGCTGGGTTGGAACCGATGAACTTCATAACATTTGCCTCACCCCATTTAGGTTCAAGAGGGCACAAACAGGTAAAAAAGTATTCTACTCTTGTAAATTTAATGGCATCTGTGTGATTCTTGTCTATATTTGGGATGACATCCTAAATCCTGAGAAAGAGGGTAGTTTTATATAATATGTGAGGTCTGGTGTATTTCATATATGCTTATCTGCCATTGATTATTTCTAAGTTGGAATATGAAGTGAGTTGGAAATAACTATGAGAAGGAATACTAACTAGAGAAGCAAGACATTTATGCTGATTACATTCATATGGTGAATTGATGGATAGAAAAATCCCCTGAAAAGAAAAATCAGATATCATGACAATATTAAACTTATATCCCCTGTTAAGAAAAATTGGATAAACCTCTATGCTTTTATGCTTCCAAATTGATGAAAAGAATCCAATTCATATGGTGAATGTTCAATGTTGTCTGCTTGATATTATCGCAGTATCAGCATAACATGCATTGCAGATCAAGAATTTATACTAGTACAAGCTTTTGCTTTTTCAAATTCTGGCTTTCATCATTTCTAGAGCCTTGAAAACATTTAAGTCAGTGACTGTATTATCGATGTCATCTTTTCCCTTGGAATTGTTTATTCCACTAAAGCTTCATAATCTTTTTATATAAATTATATCTTTTAAGAAACTCTCTGTTGTGCCAACCAATGAGCTTCGCTTCTGTTTCTATGTTCTGTATGCTGTTAAGAGATTTGCACATCACTTGACAGGAAAAAATTAGGAGTTGTTTAGTTTATTGGATCTTATGTAACTGTTAATTTTCAGCTTCCTTTTCTCTGTGGACTTCCATTTCTGGAAAGAAGGGCATCTGAAACTGCACACTTTATTGTTGGGAGGACTGGAAAACATCTATTCCTGACAGATAATGATGATGGAAAGCCTCCACTTCTCCTGCGAATGGTTGATGACTGTGATGATATAAAATTCCGGTTTGGCTGCCTTATTCTATCTTAGTGACTAGTAATTTTCTGAAAGGTGTATATATGCTGACATATTACTCTTGCTCTTGGTTTCTCGTGCAGATCAGCTTTGCGCTCTTTCAAGCGCCGAGTTGCATATGCCAATGCAAATTTTGATCGTATCCTGTTCTTGCTCATTAGCTTCTGTCATCCTGTTTCACCATTTGCCTTCTTCCTTTGTCTTAGTTGTGATTAGCATATCCCCGTTTAACTCATTAAGATATGGTCGGATGGAGAACATCATCAATACGGCGTCAACGTGAACTACCAAAAGTACTTACTACTGATAATCTCTTGATATGTGACATTGTGCTTTCAACTATTTTTAATTTATTTTATAATTGACAAATCTCTCATTCATCTGCCCCTTCAGCATCATCTTCTTTTAGATGACAATAAGTATCCACACATTGTTTTTGTGGATAAAGGTGATAAGATAAACAATCTTAATGAAACATCCACAGTAGCAGAGGCTATAAAAGATGAACTGGAAGGTACAATAACACTCATGTGGTTTATGTATGATATTTTTGTTTAAATTTCTCATTTGCTGCCTGCATCTAGATATTTTAGTTATTTTTCAATTGCTGAATTCTATGATGATTATGCTTTATAAGCTATTAGATTCTGCTTTTGTGGAGGTTAAAGTGGCTACCAACTTTGCTCATTGGGAGAATATGTTAATCCATACCTCTACTATTCTCTGGTAGTTGTAGACATATTAGTATCTAATATGTAATTTAGCATCAGATTTTGGCTTCAGATATTGTATTCAGAAAGCTGATTGCCAAATAGTTCACCAGATACATGTGAAGTTCTATTAAAACAACAACAAATTTGGGTTGAGCTTGTTTGTTTGTTTTCTAAGGACAAGCCATTGTTGGAAGGTCTATATGATTGCCTGCTGCCAATCAGAAACACCAGGGTAATGGCAAAAGTTTAATGGTACTAGACTGTTTTTCACCTAGCATAATTTCTAGTACTGCGAATACTTTTTTCCAACCTAGGAATTGTCCTCTGTTAGCTTATTGTCTCTTTGAGATGAAGATTGTTCATCTTATCAAAGCTTGTAAATTCCCTTCTTCTAGACTCATATCAAACCTTGGAGAATTTGAGAGGACACTTCTAGTTTCATTTGCTAAAAATACAACTTATTGGACCTTTCCTACTGTGAGCTGTCCTTTTAGTTTCTTAGTTTCTTGGTTTCATGCAGCCTTGACTTTACGTATTTGGCACCAATTTTAAAGGGTTGACATCATCTGGTTACAGTCATGAAAGAAAAAATCTTTCATGACATTTAGAACAAGTAATTAGATGACATATGACTATGAAATCAGTGGTCAATTTTTTTAGTTTCAAAGGGTTACCGAGCCTATGCTATAAGGCGGAAAACAAATTTTGCCGAAGTTAAGCAACTTCCTAGATTGTTTATTTGATGTGCAGTGTGTAATAAAATGTTGCTATTCTTATGATTGATATGCACTTCTATCTTTTGTTTTTCTTTTGATGCAGAAAAGATGATCAGAGGCCTTACACAAGTATCTTGGGAGCGTGTCGATGTAAGCTTTCAAAAAAGTAGACAAAGATACATAGCACACAACACAATCCAGGCAAGGATTCTTAGAAAACTTGTTTCTCCATTAGCTTTGGAAAATAATCATTAATCATTAAATTTCCTGATACAAGAATGTGTATTTTGGACTTATCGTTGTAGTTCTAGTTGAATAAAAAAGCAAGAACTTTGCTTATGTTAGTTTAGCAATTCGAGCAGAGTACAAGTTCACTATATATTTACAAAACCATTGGACTTTTGGAAAATATGTCAGAGAATCATAATCTTTTTTGTCACATGTACATTTATTGGTTGTAGTGACCATAGTCTCAGAAACTTTTTACTATTGTAATTCCAACTTGACACTAGTTTGTTTGACAGACTATAGTGACTACTGACACACTTGTTACTTCCACAAGTTATGATTTGTCATCTTTTTCTTATTTATAGGAGATTTTGCATTATAGTTGTGAAATATTACTGTCTATTTAATTGTTCAAGTTAATGTGTACTTTTGTTTCTCCTTCTGAAGAGTTGCTTCTGTATACTTAAGTGGATGATGCTGTGTATGTTTCTTGTTTGAAGCATTCACTCGATGACTTCTAAGCTTAAAGTTAACCAGTGACTAGAGTGTACTTTTGCTTGCTTTGCCCGTTATGACATGACCTCATATGGCAACTTTAGTTTTCTAATTTTCAGTACATCCATATTTATCACTTTGGATCATCATTTAGATACCGGACAAGGATGCACAATTTACATCTTACAATGGACGCCCAACATCCTATCTTTCACTGCTTTATTTTAATATTCTTATACATTCTTAAAAATCCAGGTCAAGAGCTACTGGTTGAACTCAGATGGTGCGGATGTGATCTTCCATATGATAGACAACTTTATCATCTAGCTCCTTGGCAATTTTGATGGTATTCCTTTCACCGGTTAAATGATCCAATCTTGTACAGTCATTTCATGATGATTGACCCTGTCTATGTGTAGTTCTATTGTGTTGCATCGCCAAAGCTCCCTCAATGTTTTCTGTTGCATTTCAAAGTTATTTTTCCTCTTCACATAATTGCATCAGCAGTAGATCCTGCTTCACAGTACGACTTTTCCTTGCTTGGCATAGCCGCTCGCAGACCAAAAAAAATTGTCGCTGTTTATGCTTTACAAGAACGCGAGGCGACTTGAGCCTCTTTAAGTTTTTGTCCACACTCTATTGTTTTGTCATTTTGGTGTGTTCGTTCTTATTGATACCTGTACATTGCAAGGACAATGAGTTGTTTGCCGCTCAAAAGATTGCTACATCCGTGAATGTGACACACACACACACAGAAAACATACTTCTTCATCCGCTGACCATCATGTGCATGCCGTATTTTACTCTTTCGAATGCTACATCATTTGAAGCCTTACAATGCCTTATTGTCCTGTTTCATGTGTGTGCAGGTACCGTTGCTCTGTTACGTTGAGTTATAATAGACTACTACTATTTGATATTGTTCCATGATGGTCTTCTTTTTTTTTTTGTCTTTTTACATTGATCTATCAAAGCCATTCAAAACAAATTGCACCTTGAATGGTTCATATGTTTTCCTTTTTACTTTATTATTCTTCGACAAAATCATCTATTTCTATCATCGCAAATGTTAATCTGTAGCAATTAACCACTTCTTGCATCCCTGTAGATCTAATTTCAGCACAAGTGCCAACTTGTAATCTCTCCAAGTCCCGGATCGCTGAATTGCAATGCAAGATGGGCTCTACTCTTCCTGGTGAGTGATTCAGCATTAGACTTCCTTGATTTAGAGAAATTCATATATGGTTGAGTTCGTAATTATCAAATACAATATGATTTAAAAACTTGCAATTCGTATTACATTGTTTGAGCACTGAATAGGATGAACTTCGGATATGGTCATCACCAATTATTGTAATCTTACTTTAGTTTTTCCAACCTAAAAAGCACAATTTCTTCATCATTTTTGTCCTCGCCAAACATTTAAGAGAGTGGCAACTCTACACTGGGAGGCAGCTGCACGCAAGCTCACGTACAAATATAGCTTACGGAGTTTTGTCTTTTCACTGTTTCAAGAATCTGTGGCCTATCATCAGTAGCATGTCAGAGTAGAGGAAATGGCCTCCGTTCCCTGCTCTACCAAAACCATTTCCATCAGAAACATGGAACAGATGCCTCCTTTTGCATCATGGGCAGCAGCATTACACTTGCATGCGTCGAACATCTCTCACACACACATCATTTCCGCCAGTGGAATATGGCCATGCATGCCCCTCATCATCAAACTAACCATCACGTGTATCCCACTGGGACTGGGAACCGTTTGCACGATTCAGCTCCCCGCCCGCCCATCACGTGTCCCCATTAATTGTGGCCACCACCTTTTGATGCACGCCTCTTCCTCGTCGAAACGATTGCGCCCTCCCACCCACGACATGTGTCGTTCTTGAACCAGTCCTCCTTTTCCCTTCCCCCCTTTCTCCGGTGTGCCCACTCATTTATTCTCGGCGGCAAGGTGATCCAAGCGGACCGCAACGGCCAAATCCACGCGGCCGGCTATAAAAGGAGAGGAGGAAAGAGCCGGTGCCCCATATCCAAACACATCGGAGTACACATGATAGAAGATATCAAAAACAAGAAATAGAACCACCCCAGTCTGATCTAAACAGAGCTATGAACTTTTTGGTGCAATCCATGTCTTACGAACTCACGATCAAGGAAAAATGTCTGGCTTTAGATTGAAAACAGCATAAAAATCACACCTTTCTCATATCCCAACCGTCAAGGTTGCTCCTTTTGATCTCCAGTCCGATCAAACTGCGAGGACGGTCGGGTAAAAATGGCATCTTTTACATTGCCCACCCGCTTCTTGTATCCCATGTTGGATCATGGGTGGGTGGAGGATGTCAAGGAAGGGTGGTTGTTGGTGATGAACGGGTGCTGGAGGAGCTGCACCGCGGGGAGGCGCCGCGCCGGATCCTTCTGCAGGCAGCAGGAGATGAAGCTCCGGAACTCGCGGGAGGCGGTGGGTGGCGCCTCCGGTGGATCGGCGTAGCAGATGGCGCACATGAGCGATGCCCAATCCCCCTGCCGGCCGATGTTGTCGCCGAAGGGGAAGCGGCCGAGGCAGAACTCGAGGATGCTGAGGCCGAAGCTCCAGATGTCGCCGGCGTAGCCGTCGTAGAGCCCGTGATTGAGATCGGTGTTGATCCGCTCGGGGCTCATGTACGCGATGGTGCCGACGGAGGAGTTGCAGGGGTCCATGGTCTGCGCCAGGATCCGGCTGACGCCGAAGTCGGCGATCTTGACGCGGCCGCCGGAGTCGATGAGGAGGTTGGAGGGCTTGATGTCGCGGTGCACGATCTTCCTGCGGTGGAGATAGGCGAGCCCCGCGAGGACCTGGCGGGCGACGTCGGCGAGGAAGGGCTCGGAGGTGATGCGGCGGCCCTCGAGGGAGCCGCCGTCCATGAACTCGAGCAGGATCTGGATCTCGCCGCCGTCGTCGTACATCGCGTGGCACCGGACCACGAAGGGGTTGTCGGCCGTGCGGAGGATCTCGATCTCACGCAGGATCTGGCGCCGGACGGCGTCCTCGTGGTTGCCGTAGATGACCTTGAGGGCGTAGTGCCGGCCGGTGGTTCGGTGGCGGACCAACCACACGGTGCCGCCGCTGCCGCTGCCAATGCGTCGTACCCGCTCGAGGTCGGACAAGCTCGGCGGCTGGGACGACGATGATGAGGAGGTGGTAGTGAAAGAGGGTGGCCCAATCGATGGTCCCGCCGAAGGGGCGCCCATGGTGGACGGGGCGGACGGCGGTGGAAGGGGGAGGGGAACGGCGATGGCGGGGTCCCTCTGTGGAAGAGGAAGCGTTAGGTCGGGCCGGCGGCGTGCCCGGCTCGAGACGCCGTGCTGACCTGGCCGCAACGGGACCGTCCCGGGTCTCATGGCCGCTTCAAAGAAGGAGGAGGAGGAGGAGGAGGAGGAAAGGAAGCTTTATAGTAACAGAAGAATCATATAGCAAAAGATAGAGGAGGCGGCGGCGGATGATATGAAGCGGGGTGGGGAGATGAGGAGGAAGAGGAGGGGAGGGAATGATTGAGGGGTGGAGAGAGAGAGAGAGAGAGCGAGGTGCGTTGTTGTGTCTGCTTTGTTATGGTATTGTATTATTAGGAGGAGAGAATGGGAAGCGAAGAGAAGGGCTGTCTTTTTATGATTAAGACGGGGGAGGAGGACAAAAGAAGGGAAGGTTGCGCTTAAAAGGTGATTTAGGTTTCATTAATGAAATGGGGAGATGGTATATTATAAGGATAGGAGAAATATAGGCATCTGGAGAAAGTGAAGGGGAGTCAATACACATGGGTTGAGCTCAACCTATCATAATATATATATATATATATATATATATATATATATATATATATATATTTAAAATTCAATTTTAAAATTATTTAAAAATAAAATAAAATGGGTCAACCTCATATGCCCCCAAGTTTGTCAAAGTTCGGTAAACTATAGCTAGTCATATTAATATTTATCATGAGTTACCATACGAGAATAATTTTTATGACATCATTGATCATCGAACGAGGGATCGATCGTATCAATCATATGATTTATTGAACCGACGAGTAATGTAAATTAGGTTAATGATGATGAGGGTTCATACGCCCGAATAAGTTTAATCTCTCGACAAATAATTTCAATATTAATTTATCTATTAATTTTTTAATAAATCAAGAACAAGAACAAAGGAATAGATATATATATTTATTTATCTATAATAAACATGATTCACATGACAAATAAAAAAAAAATCAAAGCATGGTCACCATCCTGGTGATTTCTGATAATTTGCATATAAATTAGGGGACATAATTGACTTTGAAGATGAAGGTCAACCGATCCTCCATAATCCAATCATTAAATGGCCTGTATTCCTTTGCCAAGCATCAATGCACAGTATTCTTTCTGCTGCATGAAAGGAAGACATCAGAGATAGAACAGTCGGTTCGAATGGATCCAAGAGGAACCTAATGCATCACATTGCAGCTTAGAAGAATCGGGCAAAATGGCACCAAAGTCCATAGAGAAGGCATGCATGTAGAAAATAATCATTCAGATAAATCTTAATAGTAAACCAAAACTATTATTCAGATTTAATTAAAATAAAGATGTCAGAAAACAAACCATGAGAAAGCTTCTCAATGATCTGTCTTATAATTCTTGGTGTCAAAAATCATATATTTCTCCTCCTCAATTGATTTTATTATTATTAATACATTTGATTAGATAGATGATAAAATGATAAAAATCAGTTAAGTCGACACCTACATTTTATCAGTTAAGAGATAAAATGATTACTATTGATATAAAAAATAATAGAGAAGATATAAAATAGCAATAATAATAACTATAAATAAAAAAATTAAATATTCTTAACTTAAATAAATATATAATTTTGTACCCATCTCAATAGTGATAGAAAATATATTTAACCAATAAAAGATAGTAATATTTTTTTTTCAAGTTTATTTGCTTATTCTCACTTTAGATGATTTTTTTTTGGCTCCCATGAAAAGAAACACTTTTGATGTACGATGACCATCTCAACAAGTGAGGAAATGAGACTCCGGAGAAAAATACCCAAAATTTTGACTTTTGCCCCTTGTCAGAAGGAAGGATTCTACGTGATGTCAACGGCCAACAAGCATACACCATTAATGAATTAGGAGCAACAAAGAGAATTTGGCGTACCGTTGACCGACTCTCTCGCTTTCATCAATAAGTGGTCGGAGTAAATGGTGTTTGATGGATTGTGTGAAATCCAATGAACATTACTGCAACAGTTAGCAAAGGAGCCAAATTTCTGCCTATCTATCTATTATTCACAGAGATATATATATATATATATATATATATATATATGTATTATTAGATTTGTGAAATCAATATCATGAGTATAACGGAACACTTTGGTGATAGGAGCCTCTAATAGCGGATGACTTGATGCGATATCACGTCCTACCAAGCACCTGTCAACCCGATACATTGGTCAAACAATGTATCCATATCAGCGTTGATCCAGTGCCACGATGGACGCCATCTCATCCTTACAGGTTATCCAGAGAACCAACCCCTTACGTCGACGTGAGCCATCGGATGTTCGAGAGTTCCGTGAGCACCGTCACAGTCGAATAATGGTTGTCAATTTCAAGCAACAAATTATAGATTTACTCCCGACCGATCGACTCAAACGATTACTCAATTGATTATAAAAAGAAATCAGGTGCACTCCTTAGATTTTTTACTTTTTTATTTATTGAGTAATTTTAATCGAGCGAATTCCCAAAAAAAACTCATATTCTTAAAAATTTTCTAGTGTCACATCCTATATTCATAATATATATATATATATATATATATATATATATATATATATATATACAATCATCTTATTATTCATAATTTGTAGGAAATTTTTATTTTTAAATTTATATTATATAATATTAAATATTTTTAACCAAGAAAAGAATCATATCTTTTTTAGTAGTATCATCAATGATGGAAAAAGTCTTCTGCATGCATCTCTTAGATCAATTACAAAGTCATAAATTACTTTAAAAATAAATATAAAATAAAAACACATTAACAACTACTTAAGAATCTCCAAAAAATATAAAAAATTAATATTCATGATATATATTAATATTAATAATTTAATATGAAATGATAATATTAGAAAAAGAATCATAATTTTTATATAGTAAATATAATCATACATCGTAATACATCTCGATGATATACGTAATAATTAGATAATAAACGCATATATCTTCAATAGTGTACTCTCCTAATATAAGAAAAAGAGAACATATATCTTCAATAGTGTACTCTCC